TACATTGATTACGTTCTGGGGTACTCTCCAAAATGGTGGAAGACGGTAACTCTGGGAGAAGAATTGCTGAATAAATTATGTTGTTACTGTTTTCTTTGCGCAACATTTTCGTAAAATTATGGTTGAACCCCTGATGTCACATGGATTATTTTACCGATCTCCTTGCTACGTTTCTGAGCTTCGATCATGTTAGGATCCTTGCTGTCTATGAGAGGGTCAGAGAGCTCTCGGAATGCATCAAAAATATCTTAATTTGTGTTCTGAAGATGAACGAAGGTCTTACGGGTTTGGAACGACATGAGGGTGAGTAATTAATGACAGAATTTTCATTTTTGGGTGAACTATCCCTTTAATTTGGTTTAATGTAAAGTTTTTTTTTTTTTACATTTTAAAAGATGATTCAGTTGTTAAAGTTTTATGAATTAATTTGATTACCACAATTTTTTGGAAAATTTGTATAAAATCCAGATGAATTTAAGCAGATTTTGGAGATGGAAAAAAGGCCCCATTACTGTTAAAATTTGATGAAATGCTTCAATGATTAAAGGGACAGTTCACCCAAAAATGAAAATTACCCCATGATTTACTCACCCTCAAGCCATCCTAGGTGTATATGACGTTCTTATTTCAGATGAATGCAATCAGAGTTATATTAAAAATTGTGCTGGCTCTTCCAAGCTTTATAATGGCAGTGAATGTTGGTCGAGATTTTGAAGCCCAAAAAAGTGCGTCCATCCATCATTAAAAAGTGCTCCACACAGCTCTGGGGGGTAAATAAAGGCCTTCTGAAGTGAATGAAAGAAAAATATCCACATTTAAAACTTTATAAACCATAATCTCTAGTTTCCGCTAACTGTGGTACGCGCATTCACGAGAGAGTGGTGTTCCATGACGTAAGACGTAGTCTAAGCTCCGGTGAGAATATGCTAGTCTCGTGAGAACCAAGTTTTGTTTACAACAAAGGAAAACCATGGAAATCATCCCACATGTTTCTTTACAAATCTTAGTTTTGTACTTCTAATTTGTGACCGGTGTTTTGTTTTGCTCTCTTCTCTGCGCTTCTGCGTTCGTCACTTCTCACTGGAGCTTACGCTACACCTACGTCTTACATCATCCGCTGAACACCACTCTCTCGTGAACACACGCACAACAGTTAGCGAAAGCTAGAGATTACGGTTTATAGATACTTACACAAATGCATCGATTCACTTCAGAAGCGGAGCCTTGTGGAGCACTTTTTATGATGGATGGATGCACTTTTTTGGGCTTCAAAATCTCAACACCCATTCACTGCCATTATAAAGCTTGGAAGAGCCAGGACATTTTTTTATATAATTTCGATTGTATTCGTAAGAGAGCCATATATACCTAGTATGGCTTAAGGATGAGTAAATCATGAGATAATTTTCATTTTTGGGTGAACTGTCCCTTTAAAACTTACACTATTAAAACAGAATTCCGAAAATATTAAAATGGGAAACACAAAATTTCGGAAAAAAATTTAAAACAGAATCTGGGAAAAATAAAATGCATTTCATAGGACCATAGCCTTAGCAGGCGCCACAAGTTGCCCAAAATGTTAAATGAACAGGCATGCAAATGGAGACAGTGTGAATGATGGCTGTTCAGATTCTGTGGAAATCTGCAGACTCAAATTCCACTCACTCATTGTTCACCGTCCAACAGAAGTGATGAGTGAGTCACGTCCTGAAATCTCTGGCTTAACCTCTCGTTCTCTGTCCTGCAGGAGAATCAGGTTTGGGGAAGTCTACACTCATCAACTCCCTGTTCCTGACAGACTTGTATTCTCCAGAGTATCCCGGACCCTCTCACAGAATCAAGAAAACCGTTCAGGTAAGATCAGGCTGGATCTCTACTCTGACATCACTCTGATTCCCTCCACAAAAACACAGTAGGATTTTTCATTGGTTTTAGGATTATTGTAGAAAATAAGCTCTGTGACTAACAAAAGTTTGATTCTTACACATTTTGTTCATCATGACAATTTTCACAAATTAACACAACTTTATGGATTTTGATGCTTAAATACGATCACCAGAAGTAAAATGCTAAAAGTAGGCTATAAACGAAGTACACCACGGTCACATGAGTTCAGCATCACTACAATTAAGCTTCAGACAAGTCTTTCAGTCTTTAAAAAGATTTTCCCTGATAATGAGGCTGTGAAAGCAACCAGTGAGTAGATGAGTTTAGGCATTTAACCAAAAACACATTTAAAAAACCCATTAACCTCAGGAGGATGGAACTGAAAGTGCTAAAATGCAACTCGTTTATGGGTTTTGACCTACAAAAGTACGTCATTCCTGCAGCACTCTGTTTCACGCAGCTGGATCGCATATGCTTCAGTCTGTCTTCTGTAGGGTCGAATCTCTTGCCAAATCAGCAGTATTCTGGCATCGACCTAATATCAGACTTTTAACTTAGTGGCATCCCATTTCTCTGTGACGTGGCCTGCAGCTGTCAGTCAAATGAGCATTAGAACTGGATTGACAGGCGCTGTCGATCACTGTCAAACACAGGTGTGGCCCATCATCTGGCCACTGGCTTTTGTGGTATGCGGTTCGTCAGCTATTGTAAAGAATGCAGTGATCACAGCGCCACGCTGAAACACATATTTGAGGTGTTTTTGCAGTCAGCAAGACATGAGCCAGGTCTTAGGGGTTGCGTGGACCACTTTCATGAGGTACTTTCTTATCTTAGACTCTAGATTGGTACAGCTGTGTGAAATGCCATACAAAAGCTATCTTGATTGAGATGAGTGTGATACATTACGTAACTGTGCAGTCATAAGACTGTCATGGACAGAGATACACATGATGTACTGAAATCCTTTGCAATCCAACAGAAATCAGTTCATCTAGTTTTTGATGTTTAGGCAGCTAACGGTCCCAAATGCCAGGGGGATAAACTAAGGCTGCACGATTTGAGGAAAAAGCCTAATTGCAATTTTACATTTTTTAATTGTTTTTATGTAATTAGAAAAATACTCCAGCTTTGTTGTGCTTTTTTGTAAGGCTACACAATTTGGCCACAATTTTGTGGTTCTATATCTATATGGCTATAAAAATAAAATAAAATAAAATGAATAAATAAATATTAAGAAATAAAATAAGGAATTACTTTTGTAATATTTCACTGTAAAGTAAAAAAAAATCAATTATTTGAGATTGAGAATAATAATAATCATTTATAATAATACTATATTATTTAACAAAATAGGGGTCAAATTTTTCAGGCTTACAAAAAATATCAGGAAGGGGGCCAACACTTTTTCACACCACTGTATATATATTTCATATTTTTTGTAAGCCTGCACAATTTGACCCCTATTTTGTTTTTATGTATCAATACGGCTATAAAATCAATCAAGAAGTTACTATTGTAGACTTAATTAATATACAATAATATCTAATATTCACACAGGGCCATGTAGTTTTGGATTTTGTTTTCCCTTAATAATAAAAACCTTCATTTAAAACTGCATGTTGTGTTTACTTGTGTTATCTTTGACTAATATTTAAATTTGTTTGATGATCTGAAACATTAAAGTGTGACAAACATGCAAAAAAAAAAGAAATCAGGAAGGGGGCCAACACTTTTTCACACCACTGTATATATATTTCATATTTTTTGTAAGCCTGCACAATTTGACCCCTATTTTGTTTTTATGTATCAATACAGCTATAAAATCAATCAAGAAGAAGTTACTATTGTAGACTTAATTAATATACAATAATATCTAATAATAATAATAATAATGTTATTTTACATTACAACTAAAATTACAATACCTATATATTTATTGTTGTCTTAATTTCTTTATTTTCAAATGTTAAGCAATCATAACATGATATGCTGTTTTACAGTAGATGTGAACAGCGAGATGCAACTGTTGTTAATTACTGTCACACATCAGTGCATCTGCCATATTGGAAAGGTCAAAATCCGCCCATAAACGCATACAAACGAATTGATAGATGAAGTGTGTTATTAACACGCATTTTCTGACAATTCTCTAACAAACACCCACTTATAAAAGTAGTAACCATGGCAACAATCATACGGTCTGATTACTGAATGTGCAGATTGATGGGGGAAAACGCAGCTTTGATTATAACACCGCTCTGAAGAAGAAACAATCACTTACAATACATAACAGAAATCATTTGCACAGTAATCACTTTCGATGCTGGGCCAATTTAAAGTCATTTTTCATTTTAATTGTTAATCTAAAAATAAAATATACCAGCAAAATTAAAGCAAGTATCTATTTATAAATGTATTTATAAAGGGTTATGTATTGCATCTATAGGGGGTTAATATGACCTGCACAATCTATATAACCCTGAAACATTGACTGTTTCAAGATTGTGATAGTGGTGACTAGGGCTGGGCAATTTTCATTTCTATGTTTTTTTTATTTATTATTTTAATCTGAAATAGCCTAAAAGAGTCACACGAAACTGTCATTTCAACCAAACAACCATTGTAGCTGAAAAGACACAAAATATTTAAAAGGTTAGTTCACCCAAAAATGAAAATTCTGTCATTATTTACTCACCCTCGTGTCGTTCCAAACCTGTAAGACCTTCGTTTATCTTCGAAACACAAATTAAGATATTTTTTATGCATTCTGAGAGCTTTCTGACCCTCCATAGACAGCAAGGAAGGATCCTAACACGATCAAGGCTCAGAAACGGCTGACACAGAACAGCATACGTTGTTTACGTATCTGATACTCTCCAAAATGGCGCTATAGGATGACGCGGAGGAGACGAATTGTTGAATAAAGTCGTTATTGTTTTCTTTGAGCAGAAAAAGTATTCTCGTAGCTTCGTAAAACTATGGTTGAACCACTGATGTCACATGGATTATTTTAACGATCTCCTTGCTACGTTTCTGAGCCTTGATTGTGTAAGGATCCTTGCTGTCTATAAAGGGTCAGAAAGCTCTCAGATTTCATAAAAAAATCTTCATTTGTGTTCTGAAGATGAACGAAATTCTTACAGGTTTGGAACGACATGAGGGTGAGTATGTTAATCTAAAAATAAAATATACCAGCAAAATTAAAGCAAGTATCTATTTATAAATGTATTTATAAAGGGTTATGTATTGCATCTATAGGGGGTTAATATGACCTGCACAATCTATATAACCCTGAAACATTGACTGTTTCAAGATTGTGATAGTGGTGACTAGGGCTGGGCAATTTTCATTTCTATGTTTTTTTTATTTATTATTTTAATCTGAAATAGCCTAAAAGAGTCACACGAAACTGTCATTTCAACCAAACAACCATTGTAGCTGAAAAGACACAAAATATTTAAAAGGTTAGTTCACCCAAAAATGAAAATTCTGTCATTATTTACTCACCCTCGTGTCGTTCCAAACCTGTAAGACCTTCGTTTATCTTCGAAACACAAATTAAGATATTTTTTATGCATTCTGAGAGCTTTCTGACCCTCCATAGACAGCAAGGAAGGATCCTAACACGATCAAGGCTCAGAAACGTAGCAAGTAGATCAGTAAAATAATCCATGTGACATCAGTGGTTAATTTTACGAAGCTACGAGAATATTTTTTCTGCTCAAAGAAAACAATAACGACTTTATTCAACAATTCGTCTCCTCCGCGTCATCCTATAGCGCCATTTTGGAGAGTATCAGATACGTAAACAACGTATGCAACGTATGTACGCGGATACGTTGTTTATGTTCAGATCAAAGCGTAAACAATGTAAACAGCGTATCTGCGTACGGTGCTGCTGACACAGAACAGCATACGCTGTTTACGTATCTGATACTCTCCAAAATGGCGCTATAGGATGACGCGGAGGAGACGAATTGTTGAATAAAGTCGTTGCATACGTTGTTTACGTATCTGATACTCTCCAAAATGGCGCTATAGGATGACGCGGAGGAGACGAATTGTTGAATAAAGTCGTTATTGTTTTCTTTGAGCAGAAAAAGTATTCTCGTAGCTTCGTAAAACTATGGTTGAACCACTGATGTCACATGGATTATTTTAACGATCTCCTTGCTACGTTTCTGAGCCTTGATTGTGTAAGGATCCTTGCTGTCTATAAAGGGTCAGAAAGCTCTCAGATTTCATAAAAAAATCTTCATTTGTGTTCTGAAGATGAACGAAATTCTTACAGGTTTGGAACGACATGAGGGTGAGTAATTAATGACAGAATTTTCATTTTTGGGTGAATTAACCCTTTAATTCAACAAGTAAAATGCAGTAAAAGTCTAGTTTAAAATACTACATTATTTACAAAATAAAATAAAAACTATGAAGAATGGCGTTAATTAATTTAAATTTATATGCAAAAGTGTAACAAAAATGATACTGTGTTTTTACCTAAACAGGTAGCTAATTATTAATTGAGACAGTTTTATTTATTTATTTTATTTTTTATTTTTGTTTTTGACAATTTCAAATTTCAAATCTTTTATTCAGCAAATGTGCTTCAAACAGATCAAAAGTGACAAAAATGTGTCCTGTTATAAAAGATTTCCATTTCAAATAAATGTTCAAAATATATACACTTTCTGTTCTTCAAAAACCTTGAAAAAAAACATCACTGTTTCCACAAAAATATGAAGCAACAACTGTTTTCAACATTGCTGCTCAAGAAACATTTCTTATTATTATCAAATCAGCATATTCCTGGTCCACATTCCTTCTTTATAGATATTATATATTTACTTTTGATTTTGCTTAATATTTGCTTAGTTTATTTCCAGAAAAACAATGCTGTATATATGAGTCAGTATTCATATCTCTGCTATTAACCGTGTGAAATCAGTTTACATGCTGATGAAATACCA